TCATGCTCGAGTCGTAGTCTAGTCGCTTTTCCTACTCGTCGTCCTCGGCAGCCTCCATGTATCGGTGCTTGATGTCCTTCCATTGTCGCTGTCAACTGCATTAGCTTACATCGCCCTCGATGATCCATTGGTGTTACATACGCCGCGGTTGACTCTGTCCCAGATCTTGTCCGAGGAGGTGTCGAACGCCCTGTAATTCCCATCAGCTTCCATCCCTTCCGCACTCTCATATCCCGATCTTTGCGACGTACAGCTGAAGGCCGAAAGCGGCACCGAAGACGGTGAACAACATGGTGGTGTTGCTGCGGAGGACCGCGCTGTCATCGATGGTCAGTGGGGGTCTGGCGAAGGATATGCGCGAGGAAAGACTTGCTTGTAGACAGTGCCGAGCATCTGCATGTGGCTGTTAGCGGGCGCTCGAGGCCATTCTTCGCATCAATTAACTTACGCCAGACATTTTGGACGTGTCGAAGGGGCTTGGTGGGCTGTTTGGCGGGATGTGGTGGTACTTTGCTGTCGGTGTCAAAGGGCGAGGTTCGTCGACAAGATTGAAGCTCTCGCGTCACGGGGATTTACATTGCGCTAATTGGCTGCTTGCGGCTCCTGCTTGGCTCTCTACCTTACTTTGACCCCCCCACCACGCCCATTTTCACACTGCACACTGCAAACAGCTCATATCAACACAACCTAGGTGTACGCCAAGTTCCTGGAACGGACCGGCAACGGTCCCACGAAAGCAATTGATATTTCTGGGCGGTCGCGGTTGTCTTGTACCCCCAGGCGCAACTGCTCACGCCATGCCTTCAGCAGCCACCCCCGCCATTTCAAAGGCTGGCATCACAACATCAGCCACCGGTGAACGTCATATTCCGTCCTCTGTTCGCCCAGATGGCTCCATACGCAAAGAAATCCGGGTTCGCCCAGGCTACCGCCCACCCGAGGATGTTGAACTTTACAAGAACCGTACTGCTGAGGGATTTCGAAACCGAGGCAAGAGCGGCGTGCCAGGTGCTGAGACCATCACCAAGGAGGATGAGACCAATAAAATGAGCCCTGCTGCAAATAAGAATGCCAAGCGCAGGGAAGCCAGGAAGAAAGCAGCAGCTTCTGCAAGCGACAGCAAGGAAGAGCCGAAGCCTGGTTCCACCGAGAACAAGGACAAGGACGAGGCGAACCCGGAGCCTGGGAAAGTCGTTGATCCAGAAGCCGAGAAAGAGAAGGAAGCCAAGAAGCTTGCTAAGAAGTTGAGACAGGCTCGCGAGCTCAAAGATAAGAAGGAGAAGGGCGACAAATTGCTTCCGGAGCAATTTGAGAAGGTCATCAAGATCAACGAGCTAATCCGCCAATTGGACACTCTTGGGTTCGACCCACAGGGAGAGAGGAAGAAGAGCGAGACTTGAAGCAAGCCACGCGAGTTGCCTCTTTAAATACTTGTATGGCCACCTCAGGCCTGTGGAACCCCAACACTCGCGGATTCGCATAACCACATCTGGGAATCCGCGCAATCCAGAATTAATGTGTGCCTTAACACAAGGCCACATCCTTGGACTTCCGGTACCTCAGTTGGAACATATATCCAACTTGAAAAGGCTCAGACCCTCCTTCAGTATCTGCTAGCCACCGATTGCACTCAGCACTCTCAGGCCATGGCCGTTTCAGTTCAAGATCATCTGATGGCCCAAATTACAACTTCTCTATCCCATGGATTGCGTAGTAAGAGGCCTCTTCCTATTTAACTCGCATCTTATATGAGGCTGGAACAATGTATCGTAGGATGCATACGGAAAAAAACCAAATACCAAAATTGTTTCATTGTACCATCTGCTCCCGTTTTTCATATCTCTTGGCCCCTGTGTATAATCAAACTGGAAATTTCACGCTCTCGAGATTCATCTGATTAGTATAGTAGCCAATATTGATTCACGTTTTGTGAAGCATATCAAGCGCCACTCAATCTTGTAGTCACGTGATGCTGGTCTCCTCGACACAACTTGGTGGTGACATTGTTCCAAAATCACGGCGTCACTTGAACTACCCCATTAGTCTGCTATCAAGATGCCGATGCATCATAAACTAATCGCGATACCCGGTCATAGCCAAGCCCCATCAGTGAAATACCTTTCTACTCCCGGCGCTCAACGAGCGAAAAACGTAATCGAAGAAAACGAGTCCATTTCAGATACACAAATATAACTCTAACTTACACTGAGTACCAGCATGCTACAGGTCTCACGCTGGCAAACCTGCTGCAGAAGCTAGGCATCGACTATATGACTTTAGAGGCAGCTAGAAGAATCGGTGTAAATCACTTGTACGTTATTTTCTGTATGGATTTAATATTCTTTAAAAAGCCCTTCTTACCAAGGACCATATGTGCACTACCAGAACAATAAGATTGGACGGAATTAGGGTCAAATTCACTTTCGCAATGAACATCGATGAAGCAAACACTAGCACTGATGCCCATTATCCTTTTCCGTATTCCTCTTTCCAGAATTTATCCTATCCATATCTTGTTTCTGAGAATTGCGATAACGAAGCGTAGCTCTCTTGGCAAGACCATTTTGTATCCTATTAGACTCCAGATCGCGATGCTTGAAGTCTTCTTTGCTGGGGTTACATTCAGCAGAAGCGCAATCGCAGAGGATTCGATATCTGAAGGGCTCTCTCGTCTCTTGAGGCTGTACAGGAGTCTTGTAAGCCAGTACCGCAGTGCCCTCGTCCAGCGCGGTAGCCCGGTCTTTGTGGGCTAGCAAGACAGTATCGTGGGATAACACGGCTTCGCCAACGTCCATGTGACATCTTCGTACTGGGCGGTTGAACTCCATGCCGGATTCCTTGTCCAAGAGTATTGTGAGATCGACCAGAAGATGCTGGATGCGACGAATTCGATGATCGGGTATGACAGTGATGATTCCTGGATTTCGCTGCTTTTCTTTTTGGATGTCCCTCTCATATTTCTCCAACACTTCAAGTTCTTTCTCACTAGTTATACTATCCCTCATCTTTTCGTAACCTTGGGGATTATCGCTACCCTCCCATGTAGTCGAGTACAAGTATCTGAAACGGCGATAGATGATGCTTTGCAACTCGTCCTCGTACCACCCAAACACTTTCTTCAACTCCTTTGATTTGTCGGCTTTGTCCGCTGTAGCTTTTGCTGCGTAGTTCTTCTGAAACTCGACCCATCCCATTGTGCGTAGCTCAGCCTCATTTCCATCACCATCCAGATCAGTAGAGATGGTCATGTGTTCCTGAATACTCAATAGGTCGCCTTCAAACCAACGAACTTCTAGACTTTCGCGTCCAATGTAATGCATTGATATAAATTCGTCTTGTATCTTCCAGAGAAGCCTCTTCAGCAAATGTGCCCGTTCGCCTCTTATGTGCGCAAAATATTGCGTCATTTCGCGGATGATGTGTACGCCAGCAAAGTACTGGCCAAACAAGAACGAGGTAAATTTCGGGTCCCAGCCATCCCCATAGGCCTCGCATCTTTCCGGACTATAGTACTTGTCTTCGAGGATATCGTAAAGCCAGTTGGCGAGGTCCCAAGATGCGATGAGGAGAGGTACCGAATACCGAGCAAGTGCTTTTCGATTTCTGCGCGATTCCAGTCGTCTTTCGTTCAACCCAGACATCCAGGCTGTCGCAAGGGCACCGCATAGAGCAAGAATGCCTGTAAGAATGGCTGCGATGGAGCTTCCGTCAAGCATCTTGTGCTAAGAAAGACTGTCTGCCCTGAAACGAGGTTTTCATGGGACAGTCTATCACGAAACAATTCTAAGAGAAATGTGAATAAGTGGACTAGCAGTGCTTGGAGGCGGTATGATTGAAGCCTCCAGGAATGTCTCAGTGATCATAACTTTGTGCAAAACTTGGATGTGTCTAAGTTTATGCAAGGGTCCGCTGACTATATAGAACGAATGGTGTCCCTTTTCCTTGCGAAGTGGATCAGCGGTCCAACCTGTATTGCTATCAGCTGGGCTGACGAAACACCTGTGCCGTGTTTGTATTGCAGATCGACCAGTGGATTCATTGCAATTGGCTGATCTTGATGTTTTATCTTAAAGCGGAAATGCTTTTCTCCCTAGTCCAGGCTTCCGGGCCCAAGATCGATAGAGCTAAACCTACTGACGCGATCGACGATCTTAAAGGCAGAACAACACAGCTCAGGAACCGTCAGACACTAAACTCGTGATTGCCGATGTTATTCATTCAACAATATATTCTTTGAGTGAACTTAAGGCATTTAATAGTAACGCAATATTGAATTGAATGTCTTGTTATTTGGTAGATGTACGACCTTCTCTGGCCCCACAGCACTATTCCTACCCTACCCAACATTGCCTCGTTTTTTAGATGGCGTTATTCAAGTTTAACTGATCTCCGACATGCACACCTTTCTATAGCATTTTATGGTATAGTAGTTCAGCCCCAAGTGTAGATCAATTAGAATACCCGCCACGGGAAGTCTGTGCATGCAGCACGCTAGACCTCAAAAGTGGGCGATGATGAAATCATATCCGGTTTCGACCACATTTCCTACACGGCACGAACACTGTTCCTTGCCGCCTTAAGCCACCATCAAATAATCTAACTGATTTTATACTAAGCGAGTTCAGCTCCATGCTCGTGCTGGACGCCACAAGAGCTACGTGTCAGCTCGGCTTGTACCACAACACCGCTTATACCCCATAACGAGTTGTGGGTGTTTGTTCGGGATTGTACTCTATGATGAGCCAACCTCGATGATCGATTCCCTGTAGGTTAATATAGGAATCCAGGCAGTATACTAATTATGTATCAAGATCACATGCATCTTTTTGACCAAATCGTCTGATCGCCCTTCATAGTCTGGCCAGCGCGTACTTGCTCATCGACCTTTGATACCAACCTCCATCAATTGCAATATCACACTCATCTGTTTGAATACACTTCATCGGAACCATAATATACGCTATCTGGCTCATTCTTATGTCGCTAGCTGACGAGACATTTCAAAATTCAAATACCGACTTATCAATCTCCATCCTCCAATACCTCATCGTTTGATATCCCTCCCAATCAATAGTACGGACCCAAACATTATATCTTGCGTTTTCTCCGAGCCAAAGTTTTGCTTTCCTCTCTTCTTCCTCATAGATAGGATCGCCTGGTTGCAACCTTTTAGCGTCCTCTATACATCTGAGCATTTCGCCCCATGGTCTCATCGAATAAAACTCCCATTCTACACGTAGGGCCTTCGCTTTCATGTAATTGATTTCAGCTTTTTCGTGAATGGGAGGATCGTAATGTGACAAGAAGCCATGGACACGTTTTCTGTGCGTCTTGAGCAAGTCGAAAAGAGCATGGGCGGTATCCCCGATGTACTGGTAATTATCTTCTTCGATACGCTTATCCATTAGCTTGGAGAGATGAGCAAAAGTGCACCGTGCTAAGAGGTAGTATAGCCTGTGAATAAACTGGCTCGTATGGAAACAATTCTGTAAACCTTGGTCGCACAGCTGGTACGTGAGTGGAGCGCTAAATCGAACACGGTGGACTAGTTCAAGCCCCTCGGTACAGAAGTTGGCGCATTCCACGATGTTTCCCTGATTCCAAGAGGCTTCGGAACTGTGGGAATGTCTTTCGATGTGAGCTTGGAAGAAAGCCAGACTGATAACCGGATCCTTGGATACTTGCTGGACAACTTCTGCAGCTAGTACTTTGTCATCGCAATTCCTAATCTCAAAATGGTCATAACCGCGAAAAGTGTCTCCTATGTGCTTCAGAAGCTTCTTCTGCTCGATGTCTGAGTGGGAGTTCCGTATATTCATGTAGCTGGTCTCCCTGTTGCACTCTTTCCTCTTGGGATTGAGATCCACTACCACCTTTATTGGTAGTCGCATAGGAAGCAATCTTTCATTTGGGTCAGGCAGCTTTTCATCGGTAACCCGAAGTTCAAATCTCTTGAGTATATCCATACAATCTTCCAATAACATAACAATATCATTATATTCGCCATTCATCGCCATCTCTTCTGGTGTAGTATTTTTTTCGTTCAGTCTTATACGCATGGTGTGCCACGGGAATGATTCCGGACGCACCTGCTCTCGTTCATCCTGGTAGGCGGAATACAGAGCAAATACTGGGGGTAAATGGCCGCGTATCATTAAGTGTTCGTCCGTGGAGTCGTGGATTTGAACAAGGACAAATAGGTTCCTCTCTAACATAATCTTGTAGCCTTCATTGTGAATTTGTTTATTCACGAGCAAGAGGTTGAGATCCCCAGTGAAATGGCATATTTGCACATCTGTCCATGAACACAGACCTGCACACTGTGTAATATCATACGGGCCACGGCGGTGACTGAAAGAACAAAGGGCATACTCATAGACTGCATCTCGGATCTCGCGAGGCAGTCCAAGGAAGTTGAAGTGTTGGTAGGGCTCAGGCATGGCCGAAGAGATGCGTGTAGCTAGAAACTTCTGACGTCAACGATAGCGACGCGGTTTTTAGGGTGTGCAAAAAGGTAGATATTTTGTGAGAGTCAGGGTCGTATGAATTTTCTAAACATTAGAGAAATGCAGATGTAGATACCAACCTTAACATGTAGCAAAAGTCAGCGCGTAAAGTACTAACGTGCCCGTACCCCGCACTGGTGCGAAGTCAAGCGGAGCGGAAGCCATCCAATCAATCACAGAACACAAAGAGCATTGACGCGGGAAACTTTAGTAGATATTTATTGGGGGCATTTAGAAATGACATAAGTAGCAATCCAAATTATGATCTCACTGATTCCCCTTCTTGGTCTCATCACCATGCAAAATGCACATCTCACATATCTTGAAATGGCCTTGCCAACCTGCCAGCTTGACGGGTACAAAGCAGCATTGGACAATGAATTCAAACCAATATATACGCTGTAAACTGACCAGCAACTCCATATGTAGCTGATAGTCTGCCCAGTTTGCGTCTGTATCCACTCCCTTCTGTTTCCTTATACCACCATAGCAGTCCCACCATTGCATATCAAGAGTGTCGAATAGGAAACCTCTATGAGTCCATCCCAAATCAGCAATGCAACCATGAGGAGTTACTTAAATCTCATGTTCATGAGCTTCCAGTTCTTTAAATCAATACTTCTTGCCAACACACCACTCTGTTATGGTCGTCTGAAACACAATTTGGATAAAGCGACGATCATATGGTACTTAAGTTAAGAGAACTAATAGCATTCAGACTTAGGGTGTTTTGCTGGCGGTTTCGATATCACTCATGATGTTCCGAGAGACCAAACAAACCTATATTTGATCTTTCTTAAGAAATCGCATTATACTTAGCTGGGTTCAGTGGCCGTGATATGATCTTGACGGTGATAACCACGCTAGCTATTTTTGGCAAGGCCCTTGGCAGTCGCGCTGTGGTCCAACGCGCCAAAGATTCCAGACATTAACCCCAGCTTTCGCGCCCGCTGCATCAACACCCCAACTCGAATTGATCGACGCGGCATTGCTGTCGCCTTACCTCAGTCATCATGTACGGCATGAATCAGGCCTACCATGCCCCCGACCCGAGTGCGCAGGTTCCAAATCATCTGGTATGTCTTGCTAAAGCTCCGCGACCGTCTTACCCAACTAACAGGACAGCTTGCCCATGTTCATCTGATATCGTCGTACCGCTTCCCGACCTTGCCTGGCCTGCAAGCCGCTCAGGCCCTCGAGTATCTCATCAAAGGCCCGCAGATTGTGCGCGACACCTCGCCGGTTGCGTGGACGTTCCTGGCAGCCCCCCCGCCAGATGGCACTGTTATCCTCACCTGGCAGCCCCCGCGCATGGGAAACATGTTTGCGTCGGATGGAATGGTCTGGGCCGATGCCGAGAGCGCATACGACATGAATGTGCGCGGCTATGTACGTGTGCCCGAGGTGTACTGATATTGTAACGTCTAATGCCATCTAGACCCTTCAGGTTTTTGTACACAACAGCGGCTACCACTACCCACATGAGCCATATGCGATGCATGCGCGCCACCGCTACAGGATAGCTGCTGGACCTGGTACTATTGATCCTAACCTCTGGCTGGTCCACTACAAGCCGGCAGACCCGCAAAACAGAATCCCGGCCTCCCAGATCCCCATACCGCGCGACGTGCAGACCCAGCTACAGACGCGCGCTCAGTTACAGCAAGCAGGACCATTGATGCGCAAGGAGTTTATGCTGGTTGACCAGGCCAACTGGCCCAAGGTCGAGTTTGGACAACAAGCCATGAGGGGCCCGCAGCCCTACTACAACCCGATGCAGCCAGGTCGACCGTATGCTGCGCATCCGCCTCCGGCTAAACGACAGCGCTTGCCGACACAGCCCCCGCCTCGCCAGCCAGCGCCGGGCGCAATTATACCGGATAACACACTTGACGAAGAAGAGAATGCCACACAAGATGCGTTTGACTTTTTAACGCCACGCGAAATCAGCTTGTCGCGATACAAGCAACATCACGAATGGATGGAGGAGATTTTCTCGTCACCGTATGCAATTGGAAAGATTGCGCCGATTGATCTTGGACTGGGTCTTATGGGAGAACTGGCTCCACTCACAGCCGGCATTCTGGACGCTCCAGGGGCGGAGAACGTAGAGACGGGGAAAGAAAACTACAAGATCAAGAATTACTACAAGCTGGATGCAGAGCAGCTCAAGGACTTTGAGAAGCGTGTGGCCGAATACACGACGAATGAGCAAGCCGAGATTGATAAGATGAAGGCCAACCATGCGAAGAAGATTGCCCAACTGAAGCGCACGCGAACATATATCAAGGCAGAGCGACGATTACGAGAACTATCACGCTCTGCTGAGAGCGAGGGTGACGGTGCGAACCCAGTGGAGGAAGTTGTAGAGGATCTGCAAAAGTCGCTCGGAGTCACATTTGAGGCAAAGAAGGCTGTTGTGTGCGTAGACAAGGGCGGGTTCATGGAGGTGCAGCAACCATCACCTCCCAAGCCGCAGGTGAATGGGGATGGTGGTGAGCAGAGCGCAAACGGAACGTCAGCGGGAGCCAACAATGAGGGAGCAATGGAGGAAGATTCTGCAGCGGGACTCCTGGATCAATATGGATCCGGGTCGATATCTGGAACGCCTATTGGGAACATTTCACTGCCCCGACTGTCGCAGCCTCCGAGTCAGTCGCAATCGGCGAACGGGACACCTAACGCACCTCACGGCAACATGAACCAGGCGGCAACGTTTGATCAACAAGACAGCAACCTGGACGTGGGGGCGGACCTACTTGACTTGGATGTTGAGATGTCTGGCATGGCGGGAGCGGGAGACAAGGGCGATGAGTGGGTGATGGTGAATGATCAAGCAGGAAATGGACAACAAGCGAGCGGCAATACCGAGCAAGCCAACATGAACAACAATAGCAGCAGCAGCAACAACAACAACAACCAAGCAAGCAACAATGGGGGTAACGGTGGTGCAGCAGGTGGTAGTGGGGGCAGTGGGATTGCAGCCACCAATCTAGAGGCAGATACAGGCAGCATGTTTGACGGAGCGGATTTTGGAAGCTTCGACAATCTGGACAGTGCGGGGGATGCTCTGGCCGACTACGGACATGACGACAATCTTGGGCTGGATCTAGTTGATGACAGTGCATTTGGCGATGCGTTCCATGGAACGGAGATGCACAATGACAACGGCGAAGGCGAGAATGCGTAGGACGCGTTCTGGAGGTAGACGGGTGTCCGCAGTGCTGCTAGTTGGGTAGAGTGGATGCTTGGGTTTGTACTATTATTGCTACGTTTCATACCAAAGAGGGAAGGCAGAGTGCAAAGAGTACAGAGTGAGAGAGAGAGGACGAGTGGCGTAGAGGGCGTTTTTTGCAGCCAAAGGTTTCTTTCTGGCTTGTGTATGGTGTCGTGTATGGGATACGATGGATTATATATTGGGCCTTTGCAATTTATTCGATACGAATTGTATGGTTTTTTTGTCTGTTTTTCTTCTCGACGCTTTTGTCTTGCTGTGAAATGTGCGAGATGCATAGTTGAAGGAGCTTGAATGTTGGTTTTTCTTTAAAACCCCAAATGTGGAGAAAACCGAGGGAGCGAGTTGTGGGTGTGATGATAGAGTAGGATTTGCGTAATTTAGCCAAACGATTAATGATCTTTGCTTGTCCCCATCTCTTCCCCCCCTTTTTTTTCTACTATTCATATTTGTTGCGGCAACAAGAAAAGAAATTACAGAATTATATCCACCGATAGCGGATCGTTAGTTATTAAGGCGTGCTGTCCCATGGATAACAAGAGGCGCGCGCGCGAGCGGAGTGACTGACTGGAGACGGAAGGTAGATATACCTTCCCTTTCCGTCATGCCATCTCGTATTCCTCTCCAATCCCGTATATTCTATCCACCAGCCACGGTACGTACAGGCTTACGTACATGCATGCGTTAGCAGCAACGGCGAGACCCCGTAATCTTGCTGGGACCCAAAACAGGCCAAGTAAGCTAAGTAGGGCAGGCGACGATCCAGATGGCGACATTTGGGGATTACCTGACCAAGTTGAAACGGACATGCTTTGATGGGATCAATTACTTTGTAGCGGGGGAGGTTTTGTGGGCAATCGAGGGGGGTTTCACACACGGCAGACGGCAAAGCCCCTGACTTCAGGGGGTCCTTTTGGTATCGGGTAGAGCGGAGGTCCGCGTCAGCGTGCCAAGAAGGTGAGCGTTATCCCGCTTGGGCGCGTCCTAATGGCGTGGTGGCACTGCATTTCGCCTAGCACGGTGGCGTTTAAGGGACACGGGGATTGCGTTCGTTCATCCAAAGAAGACGGCAATTTTTTTTCTCGCTCTCTTCCTCGTGTTCGGAGGGAGAGAGACTAGGTAGAGTGGTTTGATGAGTGATGATGACTAGTCATGTGTCGGTATTTTTGGGGCGCAGAGATGGGCGAAGGGCGAGTCGTGGTGTTGACCTAGAGGAGGTGGTAGTGGTAGTGGAAGTGGTGTAGGTGTAATATTGTATATATACTTGTACCTATGTATATATATGTCAGTAAATAGACGCATACAAATGTAGGATCCAACAAACACACACACGTAGCTAGTATCGTAGTATCGACAGTGTATACAGATATGTAACGTATACTTTGGATGTACATGGACAAGCATCGACGGGGCCCGCCGTCATGTCCTTGCATTGCTTGGGAGTAGCATGGGCATGAGAGCTTAGCAGCCGCCTTCCCGACGTTCCTGCTTGGCAGGCGGCCCACAGCGCACGCATTGTCCAGTGAGGCGCGTCTATCTGGCGCAGTGCACGCGTTCCTGGCACGAGGTGTAGTAGCCACTTGCCCAATTCCCACCTTTTCCCCCTCCCGCCTTGCTTCAGGCCCAGGGTCGACTGCCAGCCAAAACCGACTCGTTGGCTCCATCTCATCCCGCTAACCCACCTCTACCACACCACCAC